ATCACGCTTTTTTTAGATTTAGCTCAATGTTAACAGCGGTTTTGCTTTTTTTGGCTAAACTATGCTGTTTTCAGCCTTTTTTCATTGGGAAAAGCTTATCTGTCCGTTTGTAGCTAATCACGCTAATTTAAACTTTATTTCATTCTAAAAGTTGTCTCGTTTCTTTGCCATTAAATTATGCTGTGTTAAGCTTTATGTCACTAGAGAAAGGTTTTCTACCTTTTAGCAGCTAATCACGTTGTTCTTAGCTTTCTAGCAACGTAAAAATGTTTTCTGCCCGTCTGGTAAATTTTTTTTCTCTTAGCAACGTAAAAACGTTTTCTGCAGCTTTTACAGCTCGTCACCCTGTTCCTAGCTTCCTAACAACGTAAAAAAATTTTCTGCCCGTTTGCAGCTAACCACGCTAATTGTCGCTACATCACACATATCTCTATTCTTGCTAAATTACGCTGGAACACAACGTTTTTCCTTTTTTGCTGCCAAATTGTCCTCTGTTCAGCAGTATCGCACCGAAAACGTTTTTATTTTTTTTATAATTTGTTGTAGTCTACTTTAATTATACAGATCTTAATATACAAATTGTAGGTAAATTAACAATTAAAATAAATAAAAAGAAAAAAAGTGAAAAAATCACAAGATCTGAATAATCAGGTCAGTGTATACAGAATACAAGGATTCTGCCTCAATTAAAAAACATATATATATATATAAATAAAAAATCATACAAGTTTGCTCAAAAAGTATGAAATATCATGACAGTATATCAATCAATTATAAAAATGTATCCTTATTTACTTTAAATTTATGAAGATAAAATTTATTAATACTGTTCTTAAATGATGAGAAATGTTCAATTTTAGGCAATTCCACAGGGCTACAATAGGATTGAAGAAAGAAAACCTAAAAACAGCAGTTTTAAAAAGGCCTTTCACCAGTGTAGCTTCACTATTTCTGATGTTATATTTGGGTGTCTTAAAGTTTTCATATGAAAAAACATTGAAGTCAATATAACCTTTCAGGCACTTAAAGAAAAAACAAAGATACATTATCTCTCTTCTATATTCAAAAGGAAAAAGTTTCATATTATCAACATATAGTTGTACAGTGGTACTTGAGTGTATAGCTTTAGGAGCCGTATTCATTAAAATAATAAACTAGGTGGCGTTCAACCATGATAGGTGTGTTCATCTTCGCTCTTCAGGTTTTTGGTATTATCTGCGGCTATACTCACCAAATTAGTCTCAAAATCACCTTAAATTTTTCGTTACACGATAGTTTCCTCCCAGCAAACCTTAAAGGAATTGATATTCGAATTATAGGCAGTTTTTGGAGCCATGTGCAGGCTAAGCGTTGCTCTTCTCGTCGTCGCCGAGGGCGCCATGTTAGAAGATGTGCATTCTTCTTCTTCTGGTTTCCAATGACATCCATAGAAACCCTGGTCCACCATTGGGAAAGAATACTCTTAACATATCTTCCTTAAACGCAAGAAGTATCGTCAATAAAAGACTGGAGCTTCAGAGTCATGTAGCGCTGATGAACCCCGACATAATTGCGATAACCGAAACATGGCTTCATGAGGGAATAGCCGACAACGAAATCCTTCCATCTTCATATAATGTTCTTCGAAATGACCGTGGAAGTAGAGGTGGCGGTGTACTTTTAGCTGTTAAATCTTATATATCATGCTTAAGACGTCCAGATTTGGAAGAAGATATTTGCGAACTCTTATGGGCCGAGATTCCACTGAAAAATTCAGGATCTTACTTCCTAGGAGTATTCTACCGCCCTCCTTCAAGTTACATGAACTACCTAGAGGGCCTTAAAAGGTCACTGGAAAAAAGTTACAGTGGTATCTGATCACACTAATATTGTTCTTTTGGGTGACTTTAATTTTCCAGATATTGATTGGGACTTGATATGCCCTTCTCAACCATATGTCTTATCAGACTATTTCTGCGATAATATTGTGAACCTCTATAGTTTAGCCTACACGTCAAGATGCTATCCTAGACCTTGTTATATCTAATCGTCCAGAATCAATTAAAAACATCCAAATTTTGGACGGAATTGGCTCTTCAGACCACAATATTGTCTCTCTCAAGTTGACATGCAAAGTCACTTCTGGTCTTTTATAACATCCAAAACGAAAAGCAAATCAATACCTGTCACTATGTAATGGTCGGATCGTGGTGTCACGGCTTCTACTGGCACGGCTTCTACTGGCAAGGACAAAGCAGAGTTAGCTATCGTCCAATCTCTCTAACATCGCTTGTAGTTAAGACCCTAGAGAAGCTAGTCACAAGACATATTATGGCTCATCTAAAAGATCATGACTTGTTAAGCCCTCATCAATATGGCTTTCGAGCTGGTTTTTCCTGCACATCCCAACTTATTCGCCTATTTCACTCCTGGGCATCAGCTTTAGATAAAAACAAAACATCAGATGTCGTCTTCCTGGACTTTGAGAAGGCGTTTGACTCAGTCCCACACAAACATCTCATCTCTAAGCTTGGCCGATATGGTATCAATGGTCAGATTCTCGAGTGGCTAGGTGATTTTTCTGCAAGATCGTTTCCAATGTGTTGTTCTGGAAGGTGAAAGCTCAGACTGGTCCATGGTTTACTCTGGTGTCCCTCAGGGAAGTATTGTTGGGCCAATGGTGTTCTTGTTGTATGTCAATGATATACCTGATAAGCTATCGTGCTCAAGTGAAATGTTTGCCGATGATACTCTATTGTTTAACTCAGATCAGCCATCATCTGTTCATCAACCTGTGTGTGAAAGCTTGTCTCAGATCGTAGACTGGTGTAAAAAGTGGCTTTTGAAACTTAAAGCAACTAAGTGCAAATGTATGAGAATCACAAGATCTAGATCTGTAACACCATACTCGTACAACATCAATTCAATCCCACTGGAACAGGTTAAAACACACAAACATCTTGGAGTCATTATATCATCTGACTTATCTTGGAAACCGCTTGTTCACTCCGTTGCTGCTAAAGCAAAGAACATACTTGGCCTACTAAAGCGCAGATTTGGAAAATGCTCTGAAGCAATAACAATTGGATATAAGTCTATGGTTCGGCCAATTGTTGAGTATGCTTGTCCTGTGTGGAATCCACATCAACAATATCTGTCTGATAAGCTTGAAAGAGTGCAAAGGAATGCTTCCATTTTGAATTATAATTTAATAGATACATAGGTGTGTAAGCGATAAAAAAAAAACTGTAAAAAGTAGGGTAAGAATTGCAGTCTAAGGAAGTATTATATAGTAAGTAGAATAAATAACGTCTTGTAGGTGGTATTGTAAGTAGTGTTCGTCTTGTTTTGTAAAGTAGTGTTCTTCGTGTTGCAATTTAAAAAAAAAAAAAAAAAAAAAAAAAAAAAAAAGGAATGCTTCCAGGTGGATCCTTGGTAGTTCTATCGACTATAGTGAACGTTTGGAGTATCTTGGCTGGCCAACACTCAACTCGCGTCATGAATTTCTTAGTTTAGTGCAATTATTCAAATTCATTAATGGTTTTTCAAGAGTAGACTTATGTAATTACCTAACTTTCTCCAATAGTCGGACGAGATCTACCAAAAATGTCAAAATCTGGACGCCTTATGCTCGAACAAATATCCTCAAGAACTCTTTTTGGTATAAATATATAAAAATCTGGAATGACTTGCCAAATGACATAATCAGCTCTAGCTCTGCTAGTAAGTTTAAAAAAACTGAAAGAACACATTTTAAAATAATATCAATAATATTGCACCAATATCTATCGATCAATTAAGTTATTTTCAAATAATGTTTACCTTTATATTTTAGTTCTTTTTTTATTGCATATTGCTTTTATTCTGGGGGCTGCCGTTAATAAGGATTTAGTTCCTCTCTGGCTTGACCCTTTTTGCCATTTTGCATTTCGATGTTATTTTTATTTTTTATCTGTCTGTAAATATGTTTTAATTATTATCTCTGCTTTTTTTATATTATTATTATCTTATTATTTAGGAAAATGAAGTTATTATAAATAAATAAATAAACAAAATTGGTCCTAAATTGGACCCCTGAGGCACTCCTGATGATATTGGGAACAACGACGATTCACAACCATCAATGACTGTTCTGTGTTGTCTACATGTTAAATATGATCTAAACCAGGAAAGCAGTTTACCTCTTATACTCACATCAACCAGCTCTTTTAATAAACAGTTAAAGGGAACAGAGTCAAATACCTTACTCTAATAAGAAAAAACAGTGTCAACTTGCTCTCTTACGTCGAGTGCTTTGGCAAAAGCATGAGTAGATCGGAAGAGACTAGTGACACAAGAGCGTCGACTAACAAAGCCGTCTTGCAGATGGTAAATTTGCGGTTGGAAGAAGGGGTAAACATATGAGAACACATTTTTCAAGGACTTTGATATGATACACAGCAATGATATTGCTCTGCAGCTCTTAACCATCTCTCTATCGTCAGACTTGAAAACTGGAACTAAATTTGCAGCTTTCCATACTTTTGGGAAACAACCACTGTCCAGTTGTTTATTGAACAGGGTGCAGAGGGGAATGGACAAAGATTTTGAGCATTTCTTCAACAGACGAGATGTTATTTCATCTAGTCCACGAGATTTGGCAGTGTTCAGCTGATCTAGAAATTCCCTGACCATAGATGGTGAGATGGTAATGTTACTTAGAGACTGGTTGTCATTATCAAAGTCACTGAAAAATGGTCCTCATGAAGGGGAACACAATCATCTCTCTCTAAAACTGAATTAAAGTAGTTATTGAATAGTTCTGCCTTTTCTTGAGCATCAGAGACTTTCACTCCGTTGTATTCCAAATATGTTGGAACTCTTTTATTCTTGTATTTAGCTTGATTATAAGCCCAGAATCGCTCAGGGTTTTCTGTCGGAGTTGATGACAGACCTTTGAAATATTGCTTATGCTTCCATTTAATAAGTGATTTGAGTTCCGCACGATGCAATCGAAATATTGCCCAGTAATATTCGGAGGATCACTTTTTGGCCTGCTTTCTAAGTCTCTCTTTCTTTCTAACAGCTTTAAGAACCTCAGCGTCAATCCATGGAGCACAATTAGCTAATTTTATCTCAATCATGGGGACACAATCGTTAACAGCTGCAAAAAAAAAAAGATCCACTCATTTGACAGTTGAAAAATACATGTCATTTTCATCGTAAACTACATCTCAAGGAATATAATCTAAGAGTTCTTGTAATCCGTTAGATCAGCATCCTTATAGTTGTAAACATAACGTTTCAATGGCTTGATGCACTTCAGTAGAATAATGATGTCAAAAGTAATTAGCATATGCTTCGAGGAAAATTCCCCTGAGAGAATTATAATGTGTCTAACAAATTCAGGAACAGAAGTGATAAGTAAATCAAGTATTGTTGAGTTGTCATTCGCAGATCTAGTTCGTCTATCCCAACGAAAAGTAATATAATTTGAGTCGAGAATTTCTGTGTCCAATATTCTTTGATGAAGCCAGGTTTCAGTGACTGCTACCATGTCCACATTTCTCATTTTCCCTAAGTCATGGAACTCATTCAGCTTATTGCAGATTGACCTTGCATTAAGTGACATACAACGAAGAATATTCTTCGAGGTCTGGTGGTTATCAGAGTAAGGTCGTCCAGTGCTGTTACGACAAGGACCAGGGCTAGCTTGAACGTCTCCACACATCAATAAATATTCCACATTGTGTGTAGCACACGAATTTGAATAATAAATAACCCTGGCCTGGTGAAGTCTTCTTGTTCTAGCAGAAGGGAAAAGAGATTCAAAATGGCGACCACGTGCGATAGCCTCAAACACGTTCAGTTCATCTATTTTCGTCGAAAAAATAGCCAAATCTTCGTTTAAGTCTTGCGAAGTATGAGGAACTCCATCTGCATCATAATTAAGTGAAGATTGGTTTTAATAGTCAAACTACTTTGAGTATTTTAACTACGTCAAGCAATTCAGCTAGATTCTGCAGTTTGTGCCGTTTATTCCTTGAAGTTAATTTGACCATTTGAAGAACTTCAACCAGTGTAGATAGATTGTACAATTTTTCTCAGTTGACCTTAGTTCGACTGTTAGACCGTATTTGAACTAAATTATTCAAATTGTGCAATTGAATGGATTACGATGGTTATGCACTTTGCTCAGTTGAAAGCAGTTGAACCGGACAAAGTACATATCATACGTATATATTTTTAGTTAAACCATTTAAGCTAGTTTGACTATGTGAACCACTTCCATTACAGTAGATTTTACAATGTGTGCAGTTTTGCTCAGGTTTAATTGGTTTAACTACTTAAGATAATCAAACTAGATGGACTGGTTCATATGATCAAGTAGTTGTATTGGCTAAAACATTTCAACTTCACAAATAGCACAAAGCATCTTTATTGGTTGAAGTAGTTTATAATGGTCAAACTGTAATCGCTCGATTGACATTTAGCCAGTCAAACTATTTAGGCTACTTATTGGTTTTGTCCGGTTTTATCAAATCAGCCAGGTCTGAAATTTAAGCTAGATGGACCATTAAATTGTGTTAATCAATTAAGATAGATTGTGCAATTCGTTGAGTTTGACTGCTTTTCCTGGTTTGTCTATTTCAGCTAGATTGTGCAGTTTGTGCAGAAACGCCGATTTCTGCATTGGTTTAATTAATTAAGCTACTTTGATCATTTTAACTTTTTAAACAAATTTGGCTACATTCTGCCGTTTATGCACTTCAAGAATTGAAGGTAGTTGGACCATTGCACTACTTCAAGCAGTTTAGCTGTCATCCCTAGTTTGACTTTTTAACCAGTTCAACTATTTCAGTCAGTAATGCATTTTTTTCTAGTTGAATCAATGAACCTAGTATAGCCATTCGAACAGCTTTAAGCAATTAAGATAGACAATTTGTGCAGCTTAACTGTCTCAGCTAGTTTGGCTATTTTACGAATATTACCAATTAGGCTTGATTGTGTAGTTGGCACAGTTGCTCCTACCAAGTTAGTTATGCACTTTTTGTGGTTGAACCAATTAACCAACTTTGAACATTTGAACTACATCGACCATTTGAGATAAATATTGCAATTTGTACACTCTTACTGTTCTCGTTAGTTTAATTATTTAACCACCTTAACCTGTTCAACTAGATTGAGAAGTTTGTGCAGTTCAACGTATCAAGCTGGTTATGCACTTTGTCCTCTGCAATAATTGAAGCTAATGTGACCGTTTGAACTAGTTCAACTAGTTGAGATAGGTAGTGAAATTTCTGAAGTTTGGCGGTTTTCTATAGTCTTGCTAACTAGTAAAGTATTTTAGCCAGCGAAGATAGCTAAATAGACAAATTGAACAATCTATCTCAGTTTCTTGAAGTACATCAAATGATCGACCTGCCTTAGTTGCATGGTTCTACTGAAAAAAATGCATAACTAGCTTAATCAGACCAACTGCACAATCTGGGCAATCCAGCTGAAATGGTTTAACTAGTTTAACAGTCAAAGGTCAACTGAGAAAGATTGCACGATCTTTCTCAACTGGTGGAGTACTTTAAATTGTCATTGAAACTATTTAGTAATGACCACAACATAGTACTTAATAAATGTCATCACAAGTAAATTACTTGTTCTGTTGCTCAAAAACATCAACTAATGAACACATGTTTATGATAATATTATCTACAGCTTTGAATTGGTCCAAATAACTCTCGTTATCAAATGACACTCCTCTTAAAAAAAGACTCTAAATCAGTGAGTGTCTTTACATAGATGGTAAAAGCAAATCAACATAATTCGATCTTCTTTTTAAAATCTTTAACATCTTAGTACGTTTTTTACGTCAAACCACTACCAAGTGTAATGCCAGGTACGATGGGATTCGTTGTTACCCATCCAGCCATATTACCACTTACAATAAAGAAGACGATGACAAATTGCATAACAGATTTAGTTTCTTGGACCTCTATGCTTTTTATAGTAATCGAAGCTTCTTATGATAGTATTTGTATAATGATGTATCTTCATTTGTTGCATTTTTGTTTAGTGATTTATCTTTATGATTGAAGTTTATAACACTTCTCTTTTTGAAGCCCGCATATAATATGTTTATATCAGTCAGATATTTTTTTTTATCATCAATTGTGCATATAGCCCACCATTGAGAGTGTCATTATCTATACCGAGTGATATGGAATGACCAGTAAATGTTCCAAATATTCCAAAAAATGTAACATCTATCTATTTATTGTGTGCGTTTTGTATTATTACACTGTATCGCTCACTAATGGATCCAGAAGTATCATATGCTTTGTACTAGGAAATGTTGCAGGCCCCTTGCAACCATATCTTAAAAGAGATTCATATGTTCCATCCACATCAAACATTTATTGCTCACTGTATAGTGTGAAATGTAAATCATTAGAAACTGCATATTTTGATCTTAACTTTCAGAATTTGGTTTAATTTTTGTTATCATGACCCATTTCATATTTAAAAAAGTATACAGGTACAAACCCAATGCTGCTGCTTGTTTAACACCATCCACATTTGATTTATTTGCAGTAGCATTACTATTTATTGGCGTATTAAAATCATATTAAAATCAGCGCACATTGGTTTTGTTCAATTAGTTTTCTATAAATCGTTTGTTCTTGTCTTCACTTATGATTTATTTAGAGCATAATTGGCATCAATTGGTGTGGCTAGATGGATTATTTTACAATTATTCATAATGAGATCAGTAGCCATTGCAGTCTTTCCATCAGACCAAATATCTATTCAGAGTGTCATTAGTTTTTGAAACTTTTTATCCCACAAACTTAGTACAACATCGTTATGAGGTCCCAAGATGCCATAAACTATGACGTGAATGACTAAATCTTGTGCAAAAGCCCTACCTGACCTTTCTTTAAATGCTAAATCCATCATCAGATAATAAAGTGTTACATTATTGTACTTGTGTTTATGAACCAGTGATCTGGTATGAGCTGCAGATTTATGAATGGTCACTAGATGCAGAGGAAAAGCATAATTCAAACACCACTGCATATTCACCAGCTGTAAGTTCATAATGTTTTTTGCTATCCAAATAGAATTTCATTTCTTTGGCTTTTTTCATTCAATTGATGAAAGTCTTGATTAATGGAATGTCATCTTCATTACTGAACTTCCCACTGTTATTCATGATATATGAAAATGTGTTTTACAAATCTGCACCACTAACAGACAGATTTAATCTGTTATTAACATACTTCTGATAGTTCTGATAGGTATGTCTGTGCCTGTTTGACATTAATCATACGTCTACTTCTCATATTCAAATTACCAGTGATTACTCTTGGATCATCCGTTTTTTATTGTATCAACATACCTTTGATTGTTTCCATTTGTTGCACTTGTTGGGTTTGCTACTTTATTCACCTTATTGCCTTTCACGACATCAAGGCCTTTTGATGCGTCTAAATTAAGGTTTTGCTGACAACATATTTCTTGTCAACAACATACTTATCACTGTTATCACTGCTTTCATAATCTAATATTAATGTTTAAGGTAACAGATCGTCCATATCTATTTTCTTGTCTGTTGTGTCTTTCATCTGCGTCAAGGCTACAGCTTCGTCATCATATTGTGCTCTACTGAGTTCATAAATGGTCTTTTCATTTGCATCCCATCTGTTACTACTTACCACTTTCAACGACTGACTATCGTCACTTTTTTCTGCATGTTGTCTCACAAATTACCTTATTAGCAGCATCATTATTTGAACTGGCTGTATACAAGTTCCTAATACGGTTGTTATTCATGTTTATGTCACCTTGGAAGGTCTCAGAGCCACTCAGTATGTTGTTTGCAATGGTATTAACATTCGTTTTTATTACTGGCATCTGTTGCACCTGATGGATCCCCAAGATTAACAACGTTTCTACTGTTCATATGCCAGTTACCTGTCATTATCTGAGTTCCATCCGATTATGAAACAGTTGAAAGGTCTGCAGAATCACCACTACCAGATGGCCCTGTGGCCCTCTATCACCTTTATCAGGTTTAGGTCCCTGTGCTCCAGTGTCCCCTTTATCACCCTTAGGACCTTCAGGACTGGTGTCTCCTTTGTCACCTTTTGGACCCTGAGGACCAATATCTCCTTTTGGTCCTTGTCCATGGTCAACTTTAGGACCCTGAGACCCAGGACCACCACCACCAGGTGGCCCTTGTGCACCAGTATCTCCTTTGTCACCTCATCTCCCTTAGCTCCTGTGCACCACCATTTCCTTTTTAGGTTTCTATCTCCTTTGTCTCTCTTTTGGACCAGTATCGCCCTTATCACCTTTTGGTCGTTGTTGCCCTGCTGGCCCTTCAACAATTTCCACAGTTGTACCTATTTTGCTATGATTTCCAATAACTATACCCATTATAAAATATGCTTTATGAATTTTTCATTATAAGCATTATCAGTAGGGGAAAACACTTTTACGACATTATAACATGTCGTCCCCACACTATGGACATTCATGAAATACAAACAATAACATCCACATGACACTGAAAAATCCTGATACTGTGTACTGTTATACACTAATTGAGATTTAATGTATTGGACACCTTTATAACCTCCTTTTGACAATTGAGACCAAAACTGTCCATGTATTTAATTATCTCTTTTTATGTTTATAACAACCCAATGTGTACCACGACCCACACTGTCATCAAGATTACCCTCTCCTATGCCTATCACCTATTCCATCTCTGAAAAACAGAACCAGCACTGCTCTATCCTTATTCACTTTACCCAGTTAATTATATTATAATTGGACAATGCTTTATTTACCAAATTGCACCCAATAGAGGGACTCCGTTGAATGATGAGTTTTTGCCCAACAGTAGTCCTTTTCCCTTGATCGCCTTTTTGATTTTCTTTTTATGAGGACTACCACTTATGGTACCTGCGTAATTTGGTACTCGAGGAAACACTTCTCCCCCTCTAGACCAACTACCTTAAAATGGAGGTAGTCTATATGGCACCAATGACTCATTGTGTTTTGAAATTTGTACATTGTATTTGTCTCCTTCTTTGACTTTTAAGCTGTCTAGGCATTTTATCGGGTTGAGCCATTTCAGCAAGCTAGACATTTTGTCATTTAAGCTACATTGCCCATTTAAAAAGTAGAACCATTTAGACTAGTTCGACTATTTTGACTTCTTAAACCAACTGGGCTAGATTGTCCATTTGTGCACTTATACAGTTAAAGGTAGTTTAACCATCGCACAACGACAAGCAGTTTAACTGTCTTCCCTAGATTGAGTATTTTAAGCATTTGAACCATTCAAGCTAGTTATGCATTTTTTCCATTGAAGCTAATATGGCCATTTGAAGAACTTTAACCAATTAAGATAGATTGTACAATTTGTACAGTGTATTTGTGTCTGGTTCTTTGACCATTTAAGTTGTCGAAGCATTTGAGCCAGCTTGTGAAGCTTGTGCAGTTCAAATGATTTAGTATCAACGCATTTTATTCGGTTGAACTATTTCAGGATGATAGACATTTTTCATTTAAGCTAGATTGACCATTTAAAAAGTAGGAGCAATCTAGTCTAGTATGACTATTTTGACCTCAACCAATTGAGCTAGATGTTGCCGTTTTGTGCACCACAACAACTGAGGGTAGTTTGAACATTGCAAGACTCCAAGCAGTTTAACTGTCTTACTTAGTTTGACTATTTAACCGCTTGAAAGATTTAAGCTGGTTAAGCATTTTGTCCAATTGAACCATTGAAGCTTGTACAGCCATTTGAACGACTTTAACCAACTAAGATAGATTGTGCAATTTGTACAGTTTAATTGTCTGTGCTACTTTGACTGTTTCAAGATTTAAAATATTAAGCTTGATTGTGCAGTTTGTGTAGCTGAACCTATCCACCTAGTTATCCACTTTATCCAGTTGAACCAATTAACCCCGTTTGAACATTTGAACAACATCAACCATTTCGATAGATAGTGCCATTTGTGCGCCTCTACTGTTTTCGCTAGTTTGAGTATCTTAACTAGTTAGAACAAGCTAAATAGAGCAGTTTGTGCAGTGGAACCATTTGATTCAGTTATGCATTTTCTGCCTGAACCATTTTAGCCAGTTTAACCATTTGAACTACTGTAACCAATTAAGAAGGATTTTGCAATGTGTGCAGTTTACTGTCTCGGCTGGTTTGACCGTTTAAAGTACTTCAACCAGTTGAGATAGATTTTTCTCAGGTGACCTAAGTTTGACTATTAAACCAGGTGACCCATTTCAGCCAGATTGTCTAGGTTGTGAGTTTGCATTGATTAGGCTAGTTATGGTTTTTTTCTCAGTTAAAGCAAACTAGCTAGTTTGACCAAATTATTAACCTATTTTAACTAGTCCAAGTGGTTTACATGGTCACAGTAGCCTAAATATTTATATGACACCCTTTGATGAAATAGCACAACTGATACCCTGTAAGAATATATAAGGCAGATAAATAAACTAGCAGAAGCAATAAGGTCAGGAAGTCATTTTATTATAAAACCAACGAAGAAACAAAGTAGCGGGTTCCTTGGTACATTGCTTGCAAGTATCGATGTGCCATTGTCATTAAAAGCGTTAACTAGTAATGGTCTTCAGGGTTATAGCAGAAATCAACCATTACCACCTCTTCCACTACCAAAATCAGTTGGAATTGACATGGAGGTTAGAGCATACAATGAGTCATTGGTGCTGTATAGACCACCACCTTCTCGTGGTCGTTGGTCTAAAGGGGGAGAAGTGAATCCTCAAGCACCACCACCATTCATTGGAAGTTGGCCCAATTACGCAGGTACATAGGTGTTAGTTCTAATAAAAGCAAAATAAAAAAGACGATCAAGGAAAAATGATTACTGTTGGGCAAAACCTCATCATTCAATTAAGTCCCTCCATTGGGTGCAATTTTGTTAATAAAGCATTGTCCAATTATGATATAATTGACTAGGTAAAGTGAATAGGGATAAAGCAGTTTATGGGTGTGTTTTTCAGAGACCAAATAGGAGATAAGCATAGGCTAGGATACTAGGTGTTATCAATGTTGATGACGGTGTGGGTGGTGATACACATTGGGTTGTAATAAACATCAAAAGAGATAATTAAATGCTTGGATCGTTTTGGTCTCAATTGTCCAAAAGAGGTTATGAAAGAGTCTAATACATTAACCTCAATTATGTGTAGCACGCAGTATCAGGATTTTTCCGTGTCTTATATGATTATTATTGTTTCTATTACATGAATGTCCACAGCTTGAGGACGACATGTTATAATGTCGTAAAAAAATTTTTCCCTACTAATTATATTTTATAGTAAAAATTCATAAAACAGTATTTTATAATCGGTATATTTACTGGAAATCATATCAAGATAGATACAACTGGAAGGTGTTGAAGGACCAGCAAGACAACCAAGACTAAAAGATGATCAGGGTAACACTGGTCCTAAAAGAGACAAAGGAGATAGAGGCCTAAAAGGAGACACTGGTGCACAGAGAGCTCGGGGAGATACGGGTGACCAAGGTGATACTTGTGCCCAAGGGCCACGTGGAAGTGGTGGTGCTGGGTCTCAGGGTCCTGAGATACTGGTCCTCAAAGTCCCAAGGGTGATAAAGTTGACGGTGGTGTTAGAGGTCGAAATGGTGATAAAGGGGACACTGGAGCACAGGGACCTAAACCTGATAAAGGTGATAGAGGGCCACAGGGGCCATCTGGTAGTGGTGATTCTGCAGACCTTTCAACTGTTTCATAATCGGATGGAACTCAGATAATGACAGGTACTTGGCATATGAACGGTAGAAACGTTGTTAATCTTGGGGATCCATCAGGTGCAACAGATGCCAGTAATAAAAACGAATGTTAATACCATTGCAAACAACATACTGAGTGGCTCTGAGACCTTCCAAGGTGACATAAACATGAATAACAACCGTATTAGGAACTTGTATACAGCCAGTTCAAATAATGGTGCTTTTAATAAGGTAATTTGTGAGACAACATACAGAAAAAAGCGATGATAGCCAATCGTTAAAAGTGGTAAATAGTAACAGATGGGATGCAGATGGAAAGACCGTTTATGATCTCAGTAGAGCACAATATGATGATGAAGCTGTAGCCTTAGCGTAGATGAAAGGCACAACAGACAAGAAAATAGATATGGGCAATCTGTTGCCCCAAACATTAAAAAATCAGGTTATTAATACTAGACTATGGCAGCAGTTATAACAGTGATGAGGATGTGGTTGACAAGAAATATGTTGACGGCAAAAACTTTACTTCAGACGCTTAAAAAGGTCTTGATACGAAAGACAGTAAGGTGATTAATGTAGAAGACTCAACAAGTGCAACAGATAGAATAACTAAAAGGTATGTTGATACAAAAACAAGCAATTATTTGAAAACCGATGGAAGAAGAGTAATGACTGGTAATTTGAATATGAAGAACAGAAATATGATAAATTTGAAACAGGCACAGATACATGAAAGTACACATGCTGCTGGTGTTAATTTTGTCAGTGCAACTATCAACAATAAAAATACACAAATGACTACTAATTATTAAAAATATGTTGAGAACAGATTAAATCTGTTTGTTGGTAGTCCAGGTTTGTAAAACACATTTTCATAGACAATGAAATAAAAGTGGGCAGTTCGGTGATGAAGATGACATTACCTGGGTTAAATTCATTTATCAAGCCTTTCATCAAACTCCATTTGCAAAGCGCAAACATGCAAACTGGTGAATATACAGTGGTATTTGAATTAGCTTTCCCTCTGCGTCTATCGCCCATTCATCAGTTGACACATCAACCACAAGTAGTATCGAGACAATTTCCAGGGTATCAACTCATAAATCTGCCGATTGTACCAGCTCATTGGTACATCTACACAAGTACAATAGTGTAACACCTTAATATCTGATGAAGAAAAAGTCAAGTGTGGCTTATGCACAAGCTTTAGTCATTCGTGTCATATTTTATGGCATCTTGGGATATCATAACGATGGTCTACTTAGTGTGTGGTGTAAAAAGTTTGAAATAACTGATGGTACTCTTAATTTCATGACAATGGTTGAAACGACCAAAGAGTTAAAAATACAAGATATACAAAGGCCCAGCTTGTAATACACATATGAGTCCTGGGAACGTCAATCCTAATATTGTGTTCGTTTATATTGAAGACACAAACAATGAATGGACGGACATCAAGGTTTTCTATCCTACTATCCTATTGTAACTGCTGGATATGAAGTAAGGATTCAAACAGGTCAAGAAATGTTGGATAGTGGTTCTTAAAGTCAGATTCTTATTAAAAAATCAGTTAAATTAGTATAATCACATAATATATATATATATATATATATATATATATATATATATA